GGGGGGGGGGGAGCCAATTCTTCAAAGCCTTACGGAAGGCTAAAAGGGCGGCAGCCTGCTGAATCTCAGGGGGCAGAGGGTTCCATCAGGCCGAGGCTGCCATAGAAATACATGGCTTCCTGGCTCCCCTCAGATGGCAATATTTAAGGGACAGGACTGGGAGTGTGCCCCTCATTTGATGGGGTAGATGTCCCTATAGATCAGACATGTCAAACTCCGCAACGTATTGGGACAGTTTTGCCATTGCTGGCAATGGGGTGGGTGCAGCTTCTGCGTGACGCATCCGGTCTGCGGGCTGGCAGTTTGACACCCCTGCTATAAATGGTAGGACAGGTAGATGTCCTTAGGGAAAGGCGGTCCCACAGATAGTCTGGCCCTGTACCATATAAGGCTTTAAAGGTTATTACCAACACCTGGAATTGCACCTGGAAAGAAACTGGAAGTCTTGTCTCTTGTGCAACAGTTACATGGGCAAATCTAGCACACACACACCCCATTACTATGTGTGCTGTTGCATTCTGAATAAGTTAAAGTTTCTGAGTGGTCTTCAGGGGCAGTCTCCTGTAGAGCAGGAGTGCCCAACCCCTGGTCCGTGGACTGGCTCCGGGTCTACGGCATGCCAGAAACCGAGCCGCGCAAACAAGCAAAGCCCCATCCATGGGATGCAGGCAGCATGCAAAATAATGCCCCCTCCGGTCCGTGGAAAAAAACACTCCACGAAACCGGTCCCTGATGCCCAAAAAGACGAATTGAGTCTTCCTGGTATTCAGAGAGCCTCCAGGATTTTTCTTGCTCTGGATGCCGTGCTTTTTCACAGCACATGTCTCAGTTATCTAATTCAGGGTCCCCAACCCCCGGACCGGTACCGGGTTGCGGCATGCCAGCAATCGGTCCGCAGAAACAAGCAAAGCCCCATCTGTGAGATGCAAGCAGCACACAAAACCTCACGCCCTCCAGTCCGTGGAAAAACCTCTCTCCACAGAAGCCGTCCCTGGTGCCCAAAAGTTTGGGGACCTCTGATCTAATTGATGATGACATGAGCAGGTCCTCAAAATCATTAATGTTTCATGACACCTACTAATCTGACTGACAAGTAGTCTCTAGAATTCAGCTGTACATCAAGCTGCCTCATTGGTTTCAGTAACCAGCTGCCTCCACCTGTTGTTAAGGTGTTCTATGGCTTGTTGTTAGGACCCAAATGCACATTTTTTTTTCTTATTTTCTAAGATGACATGAAATTATATACTGTAGCAAAGGCTGCCCCGATCAATTCATGCTTTGTCCTGTTGCTTACCTTTTATTGGAGTTTGTTTATAAGACGAAATCATCACATAAGAGTAGGCTCCATTTCCCTTATTATAACTAAAACTGTTGGCTTTTCTCGTTCGTCTGTCATGCTTGGATATGGTATATTGGATATGGTATATTGATACGGTATATATGCAGTGAATTTCAAAAGTCCTGGGTGTAGTTACATGGCTCTACATATATATTATTTTAAAATGGGGGGAAAAGAGAATAAAAACTGGAAGTATATTTATGATCTAAAGGAAAAACAAATTTTTAAAATGTCATGGATGGATAACCTAGATCAGGGCTTTTCAACCTTTTCACCCATTGTACCACTTTTAGGATATGGCAACATCCGAGTACCACCAGTCGCCTAGCAAGGTGTCAAAAACTTGATGACAAAAAAAAAAAAAAAAAGGAAAAAAGTGATAAAGTACAGGTAGTCCTCGACTTAAAACAGTTCACTTAGTGACTGTTCGAAGTTACAATGGCACTGAAAAAAGTGCCCCCCAAGCCACAGCCGAGCAAGACGCCTGCCTGCCCACCCGGCGGCGCTCTTCCTCCTGTCTGAGGTTTCCATTGTTGTGAGCGTTTCTGTTGAGGATTGGCAGCGGGGGTGGGGTGGGAGGGTGTTTGGTTTTTATTCCCCCCATCTGCTGGGTGGTTGCAGCAGGTTTTGGTCACTTCACATGACCCTGGGACACTGTGACCGTCATAAATATGAATCAGTTGCCAAGCATCTGAATGTAAATCACAAGACCCTGGAGATGCTGCAACATTCCAGCTGATCGGCGCTTCTTCTGGGCTCAGCAGAAGCGCCAGGATC